TAAGGCATGCGCGTATCCAACTCTGTTTCCCTGGAGGATTCGTTCCTGATGATTTAGTTCCTTTTAGTTGCCTATGCCTTTCATCCACTCCTTGACCTAAGTAGATCGAGGTAACAGTACATGTGTACGTCAACATACTTTTAGCTAGCTACACCTTTCTCTTTTAATCCTTGGTTTTAAACATAGTCAAAACCAAGCCTTACCTGTCTTAAGTCGCAGTTCTACAACAATGTTAAATTAAAACAACAACACACCATACGGATCTTACGCCGTAAGGAAGGTCAAGTAAAATTCTTGCATAGGTCGCTCATTTTGTGATTTGGTGTGTGCGGACAGATGGGACATTGAAATCTATTGTCATGCATTTCGGAGAAAGTGCTACTTCTTCACCTATACATACCTAGCAAAGAGCGCGGAAGAAAACTGAATCGATAGGAATTTAAGAGAAAGGGCCCAAACTAGTTTTGCCAAACACTAGTGTGGAACATTTCGGTTTTTTTAATAACGGATTTAGTTTAGTATTTGATTGATTGATTGTCGTACGCGTGGCTGACCCCAGGGGCCAACTGTACCCTTGCGATTTAAACGAGTCACGCGCCTTACCTGATTGTTGATTCGGTGTGTACGCACATGGACTGTTTTTGTGACAGGAGGCATAACTTGATAGGGAGTGGTTTTCTTCGGCAGCCTGCCAGATTTAATTTTACTGTTTCATTCAACAATGAACTGAAACCTTCCTTTAATTCCTCAAGAGTCAAATATCGTAAATCTCTGTTTTTTTGGTTTTACTCGTGCGCCTTTCATCCGATCGACTCGCGGCACACTGAATTTGATCAATGATTCTTATTTTGATAACTTATGATCAAGATCAGCCTACACAATGAACGAGTCCATCACCAGTCACAGGTATCTTATTTAGCCTCTTCCATTACTATAGACTAATACTAATCAATACATGAAATGCAAAACATGATCTTCGCTACAAATGATCAGTAACAAGCGCAGGCAGCAGAGTTCAGTTTACAGCTAGTACTAATACAAACATCCTAATTGTGTCACTGATTTACCGATCAAGCGCCATGTTAGAGACATGTTAGTGTCGCATTGGACTCGCTTTCGTTCACTGCGATAAAAGTTACCTCTTTAAGAATTTAAACTATTATTTCGAACAAGTTTTATTTGGCCTATACCCTGCAGTTTTTAACCCAAACGCTTAGCATAAAAGCAGCATAATCTCAGTTGATGGTAGTTCCTTACTTCTTCTAGTTTACAAGGCAGGCAAATGACGAATCACATGCAGACTCTCCTTCTGATCTAGTACTTCCTAAGTATGATTGGTGGTGAAGTGCACCACGCGGAACTGCAGATGAGGCAGGCATTCTTTGTGATTCAGCCGGTACTGGCTCTCACAACGGGCAGTGAAGAAGCCTCCGTCCTTTTTGCGTCAGGCTAACACAGCTTGACTGTTGATCTTTCCTGGGCCAGCTGGGATGAAGGTTTCCACGATGGGCTCGATAGATTCCAGCTCTGGAGATTGCACGTTGCACTCTAGTATCTTGAAGTCCCCAGACAAGTGATCGGAATGGCGAGTGATCTTGTGCAGCGTCTTCACGTGGCCTCCATTTTCAAACTTGATGTCGCTTTCGTATTCGTAGCCATCCGAGATCTTGAAGAGGTCCTTAGTGTCCTCGTGATAGTTGCTGTATGTCGGATAACCAAAAATGGCCACGACATCCGGCAGATGCACTGGAATATGAAGCGGTCCAGAACTCGATTTCAGCACCGTACTGAGCTCGCCATCATAAGGACGCCCCACCCGTTTTCCTTCTAAACGAAATTCTTTCCCGTTAGCAGTGCCGCTTAAAACAGTCCGATGACGAAGCTGAAATTTACCAAATGAACATGCCATTAAGAAGATTGCGTCAAAACCAAATTTCCCAAAATATGGAGCAGAACTACGACACGTTAAAAACCTCTAGTACAGTTCTAGCCCAGACCTGGCAGGTTTCGTCAAATTGTTCTTACGGGGTATATTTCATGCCTCCAGAGTATTATTACTCGAATATCTTTTGTGGGAAGCCGGGTAAGAAATGATTGGTAAAAGTATCGATTTAACTTACTTTTGCTTTGTTACGCCCTTAGTCTCCCAATAAACGCAGTCGAAGCCAAGCACTACGTTTGCTGAGTCAGTTGGACAATAGTGCTAATTCATGACAACGATATATACACTCTACGCAAGTAGAAGGGTCAAATGAAGCTTTTAAATAGGTCGTTGACCTGATGATTTGGTGTGTGCAGATTGGATAAAAGACATTGGCTGTTCTTGACAAACAACAATCTCATGTTCTCGGATGGACTAGTGAAACCTATTGTCATGCTCCGAATGCCATGTCCACTTATTCTCGATAAGTTAAAACTATGTTTGAGTCACAGAGTCTCACATAAAAGCCTATACTTATCATTAACAGTAGAAAAGAAAACTGAATGGATATATAAATATATATATAAAAGGAAGACAAAGGGCCTACACTAATTTTGTCAAATACTAGTAAGCAACAGTTAGGTGTCTTAATGAAAGACTCAGGGGCGGAACTAGGATTTTTCAAGGGCGAGGGGAGTGGCTGCTGTTGGCGTTAGAGAATAACGTACTTTGATCACTATTTTAGCCAGAAAAATGGAACACTTGATGTGCTAATGTAACACAATACATCCTACGTAAGCAGAAAGGTCAATAAGTCGCCCATGTGATCAGGATTTGGTGTGTGCTGATTGGATAAAAGACGTGGGCTGTTTTTGACAAACAAGTGCCTTGATGATCTATTGAAATCTGTTTTCATGCAGGGTTTTCATGCATTCAGCGCGGAGAAAGTATGCAATACTGAATCAGACTGGCTAACACAAAAGCCTACCCTCACCCTCACACATGCATTGTAAAGCGTGTAAAGGAAAACTGAATCGATATATGTGTAATCTAAGAAAAAGGACCCAAACTAGCTTGGCCAAATACTGAGGAA